GAGGAGGAGGAGGGGGAACTGAGGAGGAAGAGGGAGGGAACTGAGGAGGAGGAGGAGGTGTGAGGAGGAGGAGGAGGAGGGAGGGGTAAGGAGGAGGAGGGGAGGGAGGAGGAGGGGCCATCAGTGTGGGGGACATGTATGGGAGTCACCTGACCACCACACCTGCCTGGCTGCTCCTCCTCCTCCAGGTGTTGTCTCAGTTCCCACGGCGTAACAATAGATAACAGGAGATGAATAGATTAGAGAGCGAGAGAGAAAAAAAATACACACACACACCTGTACTCACTGTCATTCAACATTTTCCTACATCATCACCACCACCACCACAACATCACTATCACCACCACCACCACCACCACCACTCAACATCACACACCACCACCACCACCACCACAACATCACTATCACCACCACCACCACCACACCACTAACATCACTATCACCACCACCACCATCACCACCACCACTACTAACATCACTCATCACCACCACTACCATCATCACCACCACCACTCCACCACCACCACCACTCCCTACCACCCACCACCACCAGTATATCTACACCCACCTTCACTCACTCGCAGGTTACACTCGGCTGGCTGGTATGCCTGGGGTGTTGAGGCATCATCATACCAGACAACATATCCCGTCATATTGCTCCTGAGTATGCGCGTGTTGCCGCTACCTATGTCAGTGACGGTCAGGGTGCTTGCTGGTCCGGCGGCATTCCTGTGTGTGTGTGTGTGTGTGTGTGTGTGTGTGTGTGTGTGTGTAAACTGTACCATTATACTGTACTTAATGTACCGTCTGCCTGCTAGCTGTACCGCCTTACTGTATTTCAACACAATTATAACGCGAGGTGTTTGTTTATTGTCTCCGCTGTGTACCTGTTGTCTGTTGTGTGTACCTGTTACCTGTTGTGTACACCTGTTGTCTGTTGTGTGTACCTGTTACCTGTTGTGTACACCTGTTACCTGTTGTGTACACCTGTTACCTGTTATCTACACCTGTTATCTGTTGTGTACACCTGTTGTTTTATGTCTGTTATGTACACCTGTTATCTATTGTCTGCACCTGTTACCTACACCTGTTATCTGTTGTCTACATCTGTTGTTTGATGTGTACACCTGTTGTTTTATGTGTACACTTGGTGTCTGTGGTGTTCACATGTTTCTTGTGTACACCTGTTGCTGTGTGTACACCTGTTGTTTTATACGTACACCTGTTGCTTTAAACACCTGTCAAGTGAAACATATGTACACCCTCCTCCTCCTCCTCTTCCCTCTCCTCGTCCTCCCCCTCCCCATCTCCTTCTCCTCTTCTCCTTTCTCCACACCTCCTCCTCCCCTTCCTCCTCCTCCACCTAGTCTCTCTTCACCCCTTCTCCTCCTTCCTCTCCTCCTCCACCTACTCTCACCCGCTTCTTCTTCCTCCACCCCCTCTCCTCCACCACACACATAACAACTTGTGACTTGCATCTTCCAATCAATATTTTCTTACACGTTATTTCCGTAGCAGGTGACCCATGCCTGGTCTTGTCTACAGGCAAAGTTGGAATTGTTTATCTAATTGTTTGCCCGAGGAAGAGTGTATACGTTGTTTTCTTCACTGTACTTCTAAATTAATAAGTCAGGTATGTATTGAGAGAGAGAGGGCTTTCCAATGGTGACAGATACAACTAATAGCCCAGGTAGACAGAGCTCAGGAGACAGCCCAGGTAGACAGAGCTCAGGTAGACACAGCCCAGGTAGACAGAGCTCAGGTAGACAGAGCCCAGGTAGACAGAGCTCAGGTAGACGAGCCAGGTAGACAGAGAGCTCAGGTAGACAGACAGCCCAAAGGAAAGAATACCAAGGAGAGAATACCAAGGAGAGAATACCAAGGGAGAGAATACCAAGGAGAGAATACCAAGGGAGAGAATACCAAGGGAGACTACCTAAGGAGAGAATACCAAGAGGGAATACCAAGGAAGAGAATACCAAGGGAGATAGTACCAAGGAGAATACCAAGGAGAGAATACCAAGGAGAGAGTACCGAGGAGATAGTACCAAGGGAGAGCATACCAAGGAGAGAATACCAAGGAGAGAGCATACCAAGGGAGAGAGAATACCCAGGAGATAATACCAAGGAGAGAATACCAAGGGAGAGCATACCAAGGGAGAGAATACCCAGGGAGAGAGTACCAAAGGGAGATAATACCAAGGAAGAGAGTACCAAAGGGAGATAATACCAAGAGAGGACTTGTTAACATTCAGGGAGGGAAGGTGCCCCAGGGAGAGGTTCTTGCCCTACATAACACACAGTATGAGGGAGCGTCATACTGGTGGAGATCGCCAGCTAGTCTCCCCAACACGCACTCCCCATCACCAACACACACCCCATCACCAACACACTCCCCATCACCAACACACACTCCCTTCACCAACACACACCCCATCACCAACACGCACTCCCCATCACCAACACACACCCCCCTGTCACCAACACACACCCCCATCACCAACACACTCCCCACCACCAACACACACTCCCTTCACCAACGCACACCCCCATCACCAACACACTCCCCACCTACACACACCCCCATCACCAACACACACTCCCCATCACCAACACACACTCCCCATCACCAACACACACCCCTTATCACCAACACACACTCCCCACACACCCCCATCACCAACACACACCCCTATCACCAACACACTCCTCATCACCAACACACACTCCCTCCATCACCAACACACACTCTCCATCACCAACACACACTCTCCATCACCAACACACACCCCTATCACCAACACACACTCCTATCACCAACACACTCATCACCAACACACACCCATCACAACACACTCTCATCACCAACACACCTTCCTATCACCAACACGCACTCCCCATCACAACACACACTCCCCATCACCAACACACACCCCATCACCAACACACTCTCCCTATCACCAACACACACTCCATATCACCAACACACACCCTATCACCAACACACCATCACCAACACACACTCCCCACTAACACACACTCCCCATCACCAACACACACCCCCATCACCAACACACTCCCCATCACCAACACACACTCTCATCACCAACACACTCCCCATCACCAACACACTCTCCTATCACCAACACGCACTCCCCATCACCAACACACACTCTCTATCACCAACACACACCCCATCACCAACACACTCTCCCTATCACCAACACACACCCTATCACCAACACACACCCATCACCACAACACACCCCTATCACCAACACACACTCCCCATCACCAACACACTCCCATCACCAACACACCCCCATCACCAACACACACCCCATCACCAACACACTCTCCCATCAACACACACCTCCCTATCACCAACACACACTCCCTATCACCAACACACACTCCCCTATCACCAACACACACTCCCCATCACCAACACACTCCCCATCACCAACACACACTCTATCACCAACACACTCCCCCATCACCAACACACTCCCTATCACCAACACACACTCCCATCACCAACACACACTCCCCAATCACCAACACCACCCTATCACCAACACACTCCCCATCACCAACACACTCCCCATCACCAACACACACTCCCCATCACACACTCCCTATCACCAACACACACTCCCTATCACCAACACACACTCCCCATCACCAACACACCTCCCTATCACCAACACACACCCCCATCACCAACACACTCCCCATCACCAACACACACCCCTATCACCAACACACTCTATCACCAACACACTCCCATCAACTTTCACCAACACACACTCCCCATCACCAACACACTCTATCACCAACACACACTCCCTATCACCACACATTCTCCTATCACCAACACACTCTATCACCAACACATTCCCATCACTAACACACACTCCAACACCAACATACACTTCCCAACACATGACAGGACTGTACGGTGGCTGACAGGACTGTAGGATGGCTGACAAGACTGTACGATGGCTGACAGGACTGTAGGATGGCTGACAGGACTGTAGGATGGCTGACAAGACTGTAGGGTGGCTGACAGGACTGTAGGATGGCTGACAAGACTGTAGGGTGGCTGACAGGACTGTAGGATGGCTACAAGACTGTAGGTGGCTGACAGGACTGTAGGATGGCTGACAGTACTTGCGATGGCTGACAAGACTGTAGGATGGCTGACAGGACTGTATGATGGCTGACAGGACTGTAGGATGGCTGACAGGACTGCATGGTGGCTGACAGGACTGTAGGATGGCTGACAGGACTGTAGGATGGCTGACAGGACTGTAGGGTGGCTGACAGTACTGGTAGGATGGCTGACAAGACTGTAGGATGGCTGACAGGACTGTAGGATGGCTGACAGTACTGTAGGATGGCTGACAGGACTGTAGGATGGTGACAAGACTGTAGGGTGGCTGACAGGACTGTAGGATGGCTACAGGACTGTACGTATGACAGGACTGTAGGATGGCTGACAGGACTGTAGGATGGCTGACAGGACTGTAGGATGGCTGACAAGACAGGGTGGCTGACAGGACTGTAGGATGGCTGACAGTACTGTAGGATGCTGACAAGACTGTAGGGTGGCTGACAGGACTGTAGGATGGCTGACAGTACTGTAGGATGGCTGACAGTACTGTAGGCGGTGTGACAGTACTGTAGGATGGCTGACAGGACTGTAGGATGGCTGACAGGACTGTAGATGGCTGACAGTACTGTACGGGCTGACAGTACTGTAGGATGGCTGACAAGACTGTAGGATGGCTGACAGTACTGTAGGATGGCTGACAGGACTGTAGGGTGGCTGACAGTACTGTAGGATGACTACGAGGATCAGGATGGCTGACAGGACTGTAGGATGGCTGACAGGACTGTAGGATGGCTGACAGGACTGTAGGGTGGCTGACAGGACTGTGGGATGGCTGACAAGACTGTAGGGTGGCTGGCAGAACTGTAGGATGGCTGACAAGACCTTACGGTGGCTGGCGGCTCTGTGGGATGGCTGACAAACTGTAGGGTGGCTGCCAGGACTGTGGGATGGCTGACAGGACTGTAGGATGGCTGACAGGACTGTGGGATGGCTGACAGGACTGTGGGATGGCTGACAGGACTGTGGGATGGCTGGACAAGACTGTAGGGTGGCTGAGCAGGACTGTGGGATGGCTGACAGGACTGTAGGATGGCTGACAGGACTGTGGGATGGCTGACAAGACTGTAGGATGGCTGAGAGCAGGACTGAGGATGGCTGACAAGACCTTACGGTGGCTGGCAGCTCTGTGGGATGGCTGACAAGACTGTGGGTGGCTGCCAGGACTGTGGGATGGCTGACAGAACTGTGGGATGGCTGACAAGACTGTAGGGTGGCTGACAGGACTGTGGGATGGCTGACAGGACTGTACGGTGGCTGACAGTACTGTGGGATGGCTGACAGGACTGTGGGATGGCTGACAGGACTGTGGGATGGCTGACAGAACTGGGATGGCTGACAAGACTGTGGTGGCTGGCAGAACTGTAGGATGGCTGACAGGACTGTGGGGTGGCTGACAGGACTGTGGGATGGCTGACAGGACTGTGGGATGGCTGACAGGACTGTGGGATGGCTGACAAGACTGTGGGGTGGCTGACGGACTGTCAGTGGCTGACAGGACTGTAGGATGGCTGACAGGACTGTAGGGTGGCTGACAGTACTGTGGGATGGCTGACAAGACTGTGGGATGGCTGACAGGACTGTGGGATGGCTGACAAGACTGTAGGATGGCTGACTGGACTGTAGGGTGGCTGACAGGACTGTGGGATGGCTGACAGGACTGTGGGATGGCTGACAGAACTGTAGGATGGCTGACAGGACTGTGGGATGGCTGACAGGAGACTGGAGGATGGCTGACAGAACTGTGGGATGGCTGACAGGACTGTAGGATGGCTGACAAGACTGTGCAGTGGCTGACAGGACTGTGGGATGGCTGACGGACTGTAGGATTGCTGACAGGACTGTGGGATGGCTGACAGAGACTGTGGGATGGCTGACAGAACTGTGGGATGGCTGACAAGACTGTAGGGTGGCTGACAGGACTGTGGGATGGCTGACAGGACTGTACGGTGGCTGACAGGACTGTGGGATGGCTGACAAGACTGTGGGATGGCTGACAGGACTGTGGGATGGCTGACAGAACTGTGGGATGGCTGACTGGACTGTAGGGTGGCTGACAGGACTGTGGGATGGCTGACAGGACTGTGGGATGGCTGACAGGACTGTAGGATGGCTGACAGGACTGTGGGATGGCTGGCAGAACCTGTGGGATGGCTGACAAGACTGTTGGTGGCTGACAGGACTGTGGGATGGCTGACGAGGACTGTGGGATGGCTGACAGAACTGTGGGATGGCTGACAGACTGTGGGATGGCTGACAGGACTGTGGGATGGCTACAGGGACTGTGGGATGGCTGACAGAACTGTGGGATGGCTGACAAGACTGTAGGGTGGCTGACAGGACTGTGGGATGGCTGACAAGACCTTCGTGGCTGGCGGTTCTGTGGGATGGCTGACAAGACTGTGGGGTGGCTGCCAGGACTGTGGGATGGCTGACAGGACTGTGGGATGGCTGACAGGACTGTGGGATGGCTGACAGGACTGTGGGATGGCTGACAGGACTGTGGATGGCTGACAAGACCAGTGGCTGGCGGCTCTGTGGGATGGCTGAATGACAGGGTGGCTGCCAGGACTTGTAGGATGGCTGACAAGACTGTGGGTGGCTGTGACAGGACTGTAGGGTGGCTGACAGGACTGTGGGATGGCTGACAGGACAGTCAGGATGGCTGACAAGACCTTACGGTGGCTGGCGGCTCTGTAGGATGGCTGACAAGACTGTGGGGTGGCTGCAGGACTGTAGGATGGCTGACAGGACTGTGGGATGGCTGGCAGAACTGTGGGATGGCTGACTGAAGACTGTAGGGTGGCTGACAGGACTGTGGGATGGCTGACAGGACTGTGGGATGGCTGACAAGACCTTAGGGCGGCTGGCGGCTCTTGTGGGATGGCAGGACTGTGGGATGGCTGGCAGCTCTGTGGGATGGCTGACAGGACTGGAGGATGGCTGACAGGACTGTGGGATGGCTGACAAGACTGTGGGGTGGCTGGCACTGTGGGATGGCTGGCAGGACTGTGGGATGGTGGCGGCTCTGTGGATGGCTGACAGGACTGTGGGATGGCTGACAAGACTGTGGGATGGCTGGCGGCTCTGTGGATGTGGCAGGACTGTGGGATGGCTGACAAGAGACTGTAGGGTGGCTGGCAGCTCTGTACGATGGCTGACAAGACTGTGGGGTGGCTGGCGGCGCCGTCAGGATGGCTGGCAGAACTGTGGGATGGCTGGCGGCTCCTGTGGGATGGCTGGCAGTGCTGTGGGGATGGCTGGCAGCTCTGTGGGATGGCTGACAAGACTGTGGGGTGGCTGGCGGCTCTGTGGGGTGGCTGACAAGACTGTGGGATGGCTGACAAGACTGTGAAGTGGCTGGCGGCTCTGTGGGATGGCTGACAAGACTGTGGGGATGGCTGACAAGACTGTGGGGTGGCTGGCAGCTCTGTAGGATGGCTGACAAGACTGTGGGATGGCTGACAAGACTGTGGTGGCTGGCTCTGTAGGATGGCTGACAGAGCTGTAGGGGGTGTGGCAACTCTGTGGGATGGCTGGCAGGACTGTGGGATGTGGCTGCTCTGGGATAGCTGGCAGTGCTGTGGGATGGCTGGCAGCTCTGTGGGATGGCTGACAAGACTGTGGGGTGGTGGCTGGCGGCTCTGTGGGATGGCTGACAGGACTGTGGGATGGCTGAGAAGACTGTAGGGTGGCTGGCGGCTCCTGTGGGATGGCTGACAAGACTGTGGTGTGGCAGGGCTGTGGGATGGCTGGACAGGACTGTGGGATGGCTGACAAGACTGTGGGGTGGCTGTGGCAGGACTGTGGGATGGCTGTGGTAGGACTGTGGGATGGCTGGCAGGACTGTAGGATGGCTGACAAGACTGTGGGGTGGCTGGCGGCTCTGTGGGATGGCTGACAAGACTGTGGGGTGGCTGGCTGTGCTGTGGGATGGCTGACGACTGTGGGATGGCTGACAAGACTGTGGGGTGGCTGGCAGCTCTGTGGGATGGCTGGCAGGACTGTAGGATGGCTGGCAGAACTGTGGGATGGCTGGCGGCTGATGGGATGGCTGGCGGCTCTGTGGGATGGCTGGCAGGACTGTAGGATAGCTGGGAGGACTGTGGGATGGCTGGCGGCACTGTGGGATGGCTGGCAGTGCTGTGGGATGGCTGACAGGACTGTAGGATGGCTGACAAGACTGTAGGGGTGGCTGACAGGACTGTAGGATGGCTGGCAGGACTGTGGGATGGCTGGCGGCTCTGTGGGATGGCTGACAGGACTGTGGGATGGCTGACAAGACTGTGGGATGGCTGACAGGGCTGTGGGATGGCTGACAGGGCTGTGGGGTGGCTTACAGGACTGTGGGATGGCTGGCGGCTCTGTGGGATGGCTGACAGGACTGTGGGATGGCTGACAGGAACTGTGGGATGGCTGGAACAGGACTGTGGGATGGCTGACAGGACTGTGGGATGGCTGGCGGCTCTGTGGGATGGCTGACAGGACTGTGGGATGGCTGGCAGAACTGTGGGATGGCTGACAAGACTGTGGATGGCTGGCAGCTCTGTGGGATGGCTGAAGGACTGTAGGATGGCTGACAGGACTGTATGAGGATGGCTGGCGGTCTGTGGGATGGCTGACAGGACTGTGGGATGGCTGACAGGACTGTGGGATGGCTGACAGGACTGTAGGATGGCTGGCGGCTCTGTAGGATGGCTGGCAGGACTCTGAACAGCTCAGGACAAAGTCATCCATTGTTTCGGTGGTCAACAAACATGACACTGTTTGTCAGGTGTCTACACACGGCCCGGGACAGTGGTCCACCTTACACACGGCCCGCGACAGTGGTCCACCTACACACGGCCTGGGACAGTGGACCACCTGCACACGGCCTGGGACAGTGGTCCACCACACACGGCCTGCGACAGTGGTCCACCTCGCACACGGCCCGACAGTGGTCCACCCTCACACGGCCCAGACAGTGGTCCACCTCACACGGCCCGCGACAGTGGTCCACCTGCACATGGCCCGCGACAGTGGTCCACCTGCACACGGCCCGCGACAGTGGTCCACCTGCACACGGCCCGCGACAGGTCCACCTCGCACACGGCCTGGGACAGTGGTCCACCTTGCACACGGCCCGCGACAGTGGTCCACCTGACAGACGGCCCGACAGTGACCACCACACACGGCCTCGGGACAATGGTCCGCCTCACAGACGGCCCGACAGTGGTCCACCAACAGAGGTCCAGGACAGTGGAACACCACAGACGACCTGGGACAGTGGTCCACTCACACACGGCCCGACAGTGGTCCACCTCACACACGGCCGGGACATGGTGACCACCACACACGGCCCGGGACAGTGGACCACCTCACACACGGCCCGGGACAGTGGACCACCTCACACACGGGCCTGGGACAGTGGTCCACCTCACACAGCCCGGGCAGTGACCACCCAACACACGGCCCGGGACAATGGTCCACCACACACAGCCCGGGACAGTGGTCCACCTCATGCACTGCCCGGGGCAGTAGACCAGGGAAACTGGTAAACCAGGGTGATCATCTTGGACAAGGGACAGTGGTGGACTACACACACACAGAGAGAGAGAGAGAGAGAGAGAGAGAGAGAGAGAGAGAGAGAGAGAGAGAGAGAGAGAGAGAGACTCTATCTTACCTCTCTGTACTTCAGTTACCTTAATAATAATCATATTCCATTAGTATCGACAACTTACTAATGACCCAACAGGTAATGACAGTCCATGTACTAATTAGTGAAGGTAATTAACTGGTGGTGATGTGTTAATCTGACTTGACTGTTAATTAGTGTTAGATTAATGAGGGGATGTGACTGTGAGGTAACTGTTTGTCCAGCTAGCCAGTCAGTCAGTCTGTCTACCAGTCTGTTACGTCACAGTTTATCTACCAGTCCGTGACGGGATAGTCTATATGTGTCAGGTTGTAGAATTATTATAAGTAATAACAGACAGACAGACAGACAGACAGACAGACAGACAGACAGGACATAAAATAATAAGCTGCCATGCAATTGTGAGCAGTGTAAATGAGTAATAATAATAATAATAATAATAATAATAATAATAATAATAATAACTATTAATTATTATAACTATTATTACCATCCATTATATCAGAAAGACCTCGACACAACAGATAGTGATCCAGAGTTTGTGACGTGCTGACTGGCTGCCTGAACCTGCTGACTGGCTGCCTGACGTGCTGACTGGCTGGGAACAGAAGTTGGCACGTCAAGGCCGCTATACCGTGTCAGCCAGGGCATGTCTACGGGTATCTCGGCTACGCATATTACGGACTATTAACTTGCAGACAAGAGTTCAGCCTGAGCCCCACTGTGGTGACGTCTCAGAATACCTAAACAGTACTCCTTATTCCGGCAGCCTGGTCACTGCTTCATGGTTGACAGTCCCTCCTCCCGGTCACTCAGAAGGAGGAGGAAGAGTGGTAGAAGGAAGGGGAGAAGGGAGAGAGAGTGTGAAGGAAGGAAGAGGAGGAGGAGGAGGAGGAGGGAGAGTGTGGAAGAAAGAAGAGGAGGCTGTCACCCCACCACCATCCACCATCACCCACTACCATCACCCATCACCCACCATCACCCATCCACCTCCATCACCCACCATCACCCATCACTCACCCACCACCACCATCACCCACTACCATCACCCGCCATCACCCACTACTATCACCCACCATCATCACCACCCATCAACACACCACCCATCACCCACCATCAGGTACATCACCCATCACCATCACCACCCACCATCACCACTACCATCACCACTACCATCACCCACCATCATCACCACCACCATCACCATCACTCATCCACCATCACCCCTACCATCACCCCTATCACCACCATCCTCCCACCATCTCCACCATCACTCACCCCCCTCCTTCTTGTCAGGTCGTAATAGAAAGGTTAAATGACCCGTGTACCTGAAACCTGCGTAATGGACCTGTCGCTCCCCACCGTCGTGCAGGGAGGGAAGGGGGGTCTAAATGGGTTGGTGGGTAAGGATGCAGTGGGCAGGTGGATGAAGGTGACAGTGGGTAGGTGGACAGAGACGACACCCTGGAGGGGAAGTCCACTGGAAAGGAGGTTACGTTGGGGTAGGGAGGTAGGGGATGTGGGGTGAAGTGAAGGGATTTGGGGAGGGTGGGTAGGGGGTGTTGGGGGAGAGTAGGGGGTAAAGGGGTGGGGTTAATGGGGTGGAGGGGGAGAGGAGTAGGGGGTAAGTGGGGTGGGGAGATGGGTGTTGGAGAGGGTATGGGGTAGGGGGTAAGGGGTGTGGGTGGAGGTAAGGGGTAGGGGGTAAAGGGGTTAGGGTACACTTGGCCTCTCACTCACTCATCAATGACTTGGCAGAACCTTGCTGAGGGCTGATGCTGACACAGAACCTGGACTGACTGTCTACTAGCTGAGTCTGGCGTACCTGACTGGCTGGCTCAGTGGCTGGCGTATATACGTGGCTGACGTATATGGGTGGCTGGTGTACATGGGTGGCTGGTGTACATGGGTGACTGGTATACATGGGTGACTGGTGTACAATGGGTGACTGGTGTACATGGGTGACTGGTATACATGGTGGCTGGTGTACATGGGCGGCTGATGGCGTACATGGGTTGTTGGCGTACATGGGTGATTGGTGTACATAGGTGACTGGTGTACATGGGTGGCTGGTATACATGGGTGGCTGGTGTACATGGGTGGAGATGGCGTACATGGGTTGTTGGCGTACATGGGTGACTGGTGTACATGGGTGACTGGTGTACATGGGTGACTGGTGTACATGGGTGGCTGGTATACATGGGTGGCTGGTACATAATTTGGATGATGGTGTACATGGGTTGTTGGCGTACATGGGTTGTTGGCGTACATGGGTGACTGGTGTACATGGGTGACTGTGTACATGGGTGGCTGGTATACATGGGTGGCTGTGACATGGGTGGATGATGGCGTACATGGGTTGGCGTACATGGGTGACTGGTACATGGGTGTGGTGTACATAGGTGACTGGTGTACATGGTGGCTGGTATACATGGGTGGCTGGTGTACATGGGTGGCTGATGGCGTACATGGGTGGCTGATGGCGTACATGGGTGACTGGTGCATAGGTGACTGGTGTACATGGGTGGGCGTATACATGGGTGGATGATGGCGTACATGGGTTGTTGGCGTACATGGGTGGATGATTACATGGGTTGATGGCGTATGGGTGGATGATGGCGTACATGGGTTGATGGCGTACATGGGTGGATGATGGCGTACATGGGTTGTTGGCGTACATGGGTGGCTGTCTCCTTAAGTGGGTAGAAAGACAAATTATCAACGTGTTAATGAATCTCTCTCTCTCTCTCTCTCTCTCTCTCTCTCTCTCTCTCTCTCTCTCTCTCTCTCTCTCTCGCGGTAATTACAGGTAAACTTCGGTATAATTACCTGCCGCGACAAATGACGGGGCAGAAATTTATTGACACTGCACATGTTCCCTGGGCCCCGCAACATCTGCCCCGAGGCGACTGTTTTGGGGTGGCGTGGGGCAAGGCGGGTCGGAGGAGGTTGGGGGGCAGGGCTGAGAGGAGTGGAATACAGGGGTGGGGTGGGGGAGGAGAGGGGGAAAAGGGGTGGAGGAGGGCAAAGGAAACAGGAAGTAAAATCGAATGAAGAGTAATAGAGATGACAATGGTTATGAAAACACAGAGACATAATACCTGGAAGCATTCAAAATTAATATTACAAGCTGAAACCAATTTTAAATGAGACGCTGCGTGGAGATGAGTTGAGTGAATGAAGGTGAAGGTGAGTGAATGAATGAATGTATGAGTGAATAAAGTACCTGTACCTTTGAGTGTATTTGTACCAGTACCTTCACCTACCCTGCTGTCTGTGTGTGTGTGAACCAGCAATATAGAGTGAATTAATCCCTCCAGGTGCTTTGTTGTACCAGACAGGTGAGTGAGTGAGTGAGTGACGGTGTTAAATTTCACATACTTGTTCTTATCTTCTCGGGAATTACGAGGTGGTAACTCTTCAGGTGTGTCGCCAGTTGTCAATTTATCTTTGTCCGTTTTTTAGGGTCTGGGAGGTGTGTGTGTGTGTGTGTGTGTGTGTGTGTGTGTGTGTGTGTGTGTGTGTGTGTGTGTGTCTTGTTCTGCTTCCCTGTCTGTCTGTCTGTCTGTCTGTGTGTATGTCTGTGTGTGTATGTCTGTCTGTCTGTCTGTCTGTCTGTCTGTCTGTGTGTGTGTGTGTATGTCTGTGTGTATGTCTGTCTGTCTGTTGAGTGTATATGTAAAATTTGTTCTTGTGTTTGCCAATCATTTGTTTTGTTTTAGTTTAGGTTTGGTTAGGTTAGGTTTGGTTTGGTTAGGTTAGGTTAGGTTAGGTTGGGTTAGTTAGTTTAGGTTAGGTTAGAATTAGTTAGTTTAGGTTTGGTTAGGTTTGGTTTGGTTTAGGTTAGGTTAGTTTAGGTTTGGTTAGGTTAGGTTAGGTTAGGTTAGGTTAGGTTAGGTTAGTTTAGGTTAGGTTAGTTTAGGTTTGGTTAGGTTTGGTTTAGGTTAGGTTACGTTAGGTTAGGTATGTCTAACTCGAAACTACCATCCTTCAGTGTTACCACATCCTTCAGTACCAACAGTGTTACCAACTTTCACTGTATTCTCGTGACCATGTCTGAAGGTCAGGTCACGTGTCCGGATGTGACGTCACTAACTGCTGCTCGTCTCCACAACATCCTCGTTACTGTAATGACCTGACGTACGAGTTCCTTGAGGAGACAACACGAGAACATTGGACTTTTACTTTTGGACACACACACACACACACACACACACACACACACACACACACACACACACACGCACACACACACACATGCACACACACAGAGACCACCGAAGGGTCAAGACGTATCTAGCGCTCCTCCTCGGAGCAGCCAGGTCAACGTTGTTGGCCTACACAACCCCTCCCCTGAACCCTCCTCCCCACCGGAATATCAACAAGTTCTCTCCAGAAGTTCCTATTTCATTTAGGAAAGGAATGGAACCAGTGTTAAACAGAGGTGAACAGGGTGAACAGTGCTTGTCAGTGAGAACAACTAAACAGTAACAGTTGTACCCAAGTTAACCTCACACAGTGAGGTCCCAGGTACCCAGTGATAACGGCCCGTGAGACCCAACAACAACCAGTGATGTGTTAATCCTCTACGATAGGAAGGCCTGGGACCACACCTCTACTCATATAACACCATCGAGGAATTACTACACCAGTCAGGTCCTCATAACACCATCTGTGAGGGAATTATACACCACGAGGCCCTCATAACACCATCTGTGAGGGAATTACTACACCACGTGAGGCCCTCATAACACCATCTGTGAGGGAACTACACATCTGGGAGGGAGTTACTACACTACGTGTTTGCTGTTCAACACCTACATTAATCTGTATGTTCACTGTATGTTCATTTACCTTTCTCTAATGAAGGCTTTTGTTAAACCACCAATGTATGTAATAAGTCATTTATGTCCAATGTATATTTTCAGCCTTCGGGCTGCAGAACTTTTTCAATAAACCGTCAATTATTATTATTATTATTATTAGAGTACACACACATGTATACACAGAGAGAGTACACACACACACACACACACAGAGTACACACACACACACACACACGCACAGGGCCTCGGGGTCTGTGCGTTAACTCACGTAATCAAACCTTCCTACACACACACACGTACCCTTAAGACGTGCTCCTGTGTCTACTGACATGTATGGACATAACGGTGTGGTCTATCTATCTACCTATCTATCTATCTATCTATCTATCTATCTATCTATCTATCTATCTATCTACAGTATCTATCTATCTATCTATCTATCTATCTATCTATCTATCTATCTAAAGTATCTATCTAAAGTATCTATCTATCTATCGATCTATCTATCTATCTATCTATCTATCTATCACACTTGACATTATAAGGACCAGATGGGGTGAACTGCGTGTGTCAAGTATACAGTGCCTAGTTGTACGTCACACCATCACCACGCACCACCACTACACCACTGCCACACACAACACCATACCAACACACTACACCACCACAGCACCATCCTGGAACCCTATACACACACACACACACACACTACACCACAACATCACCACCACTACCATCACTACACCACCACACAGCACCATCCTAGCACCATCACACACACACACACACACACACACACACACACACACACACACACCACTACACCACAACATCACCACCACTACCATCACTACACCACCACACAGCACCATCCTAGCACCATCACACACACACACTCACCACAACATCACCACCACTACCATCCTACACCCACACAGCACCATCCTAGCACCATCACACACACACACACACACACACACACACACACACACACACACACACACTACACCACAACCCACCACCACCACTACCATCACTACACCACCACACAGCACCATCCTAGCACCATCACACACACACACACACACACACACACACACACACACACACACACACCACACCACAACCTCACCACTATCACTACCATCACTACACCACCACACAGCACCATCCTAGCACCATCACACACACACACACACACACACACACACACTCACACACCACACCACCACCACTACCATCACTCACCACCACACAGCACCATCCTATCACCATCACACACACTCACACACCACACCACCACCACTACCATCACTACACCACCACACAGCACCATCCTATCACCATCACACACACACACACACTACACCACCACCACTACCATCACTACACCACCACACAGCACCATCCTAGCACCATGGAACAAGAAGCTTAAAGCCAAGGTAAGTCACATCATGATAACCCCGGCTTAAGAAGATGCCCAGTGTATCATCTGTACCAGGACCCACACCATTACAGACGTTCATGACGGTAAACACACACCTCATGCGATTGGAACCTCCACTTGTTGCCGCACTGATTACGCAGGATCAGAACGCTTATGATTTAGATATTGGGCATTTGGATCGTGCTGAGCTGGTTATTGTTTGGTTTTTTATGTTCTTGTCGTCTTAGGTAGTTGATTTGTTTGTTTTTAGAGGGAGAGAGGGGGGGTGAGACTTGTTAATTATTATTGGTTTTGATGTGGGTTTTTTGTGGATGGATGTGTTACATACATACATACATACATACATACACATTCTTTTGTCTATATTATTATCATTTAACATCAATATCATCATCATCATCATCATCATCATCATCATCATCATCATCATCATCATCACTACTATCATGCTATAAAAATTAATAAATATGATCATTAACCTATATTTGTTTCTCTTTCAGGTAAGTCTTGATGCTGACGATGTACAGGTGTTACAAGGTGTTACACAGGTAAGTGTGACCTGATCTAATTTTCCTTAACCTAACCTGACCTACCACAATCCTAACCTAACCTAACCTAACCTGACCTACCACAATGCTAACCTAACCTAACCTGACCTACCACAATCCTAACCTAACCTAACCTAACCTAACCTGACCTACCACAATCCTAACCTAACCTAATCCTAACCTCCTCCTCCTCACGACCGACTCACATTCCTAGGAAGGGAGACGATTAATGGGCTACCTCCTCCCTCCCCTTCCTCCCTCCCCCTCCCCCTCTTCCCCTCCCCCTTGACCATAAATACCTGGGTTCTCTCACTGTTGTTATCCATTATAATCCTCCACTATCCCAGACACTCTCTTTATCGTGCGTGTTTCTGTCTCTACGTAAACCAGATGAAAGGTTATCGTAGAAACAGAGGAAGGTAAGATAAGAGAAGAGAAGAGAAAAGAGAATAGAAATGTCTGTAGAATGATAGACGTGGAAACTAGAGTATTGTAGTATCTTAAGTATAAGTGTTTAAGTGTGGGGTTGATGTACTTAAGTGCCTCTCAAGTAGTAATATTATGTGTAAGTGTGTGTGTGTAAGTGTGTGTGTGTGTGTGTGTGTGTGTGTGTGTGTGTGTGTGTGTGTGTGTGTGTTGGTTTCATCTCCTTAAGTCGCCTTCAGTCAGTCAGTCAGTAAAGAGGAGGAGGAGATGAAGGGCGGAAGAAGAAGGAAGAGGAGAAGAGGAGGAGGAAGAGTATATAGGAGGAGAAGAGGAAAGGAAGAGAATGAAGGAGAAGAGGAAGGGAAGTGGTGAAGAGGAAGGGAATAGGATGTAGGAAGAGAAGAATGGAGGGATAGGAGGAGGAGAAGAGAGAAGGAGGAAGAAGAGAAAGGAAGAGGAGAGAGGGAGGAGGGAGAGGAGGAAGAGGAGGGGGTCAACCATCTGGGGGCCTGATTAATTGCACTAGCGCGACCCACATAGTCTGAATCCTCCTTCCTCCTTCCTCCTCCTCCTCCTCCTCCTCCTCCTCCTCCCTCCTCCCTTCCCTTCCCTTCCCTCCCTCTTTCTCTCTCCTCTCTTGAACATCTTACCTCTGGTCTACATCCATAAACATACGCTTCATAATTACGTACACACAACTCATAACTACGTACATATGACTTATAATTATATACACACTAACTACACACAACTCATAACTACGTACATATGACTTATATTATTACACTAATAATTACGTACACACAACTCATAACTACGTACATATGACTTATAATTACGTACACACTAATAATTACGTACACAGGCGTCATGATTATGTACACAAGCCTCATAATTACGTACACACTACTCATAACTGCGTCACTGCGTCCCACAAAGGACCTGAAGGACTCACAAATAACCTGAAGGACCCACAAATAACCTGAAGGATCCACATATGACCTGAAGGACCAAGAGATGACCTGAAGATCCCACAAAGGACCTGATTGACCCACAAAAGACCCGAAGGATCCACAAAAGACCCGAAGGATCCACAAAGGACCTGGAGGACCCACAAAAGACCCGAAGGATCCACAAAGGACCCGAAGGACCCACAAAGGACCTGCAGGACCCAAAAAAAACCTGATGGACCCAGCAGGACCTGAAAACCAATGGCCCTGGTGGTTGATGGTGTAAAAGGAGGTGATTGGTGATGATGAGGCGTGAAGGTGAACACGACAGGTAGGTGAGGTGAGGGAGAGAAGGGTAGAGGGTTGTAGGGAGGGAAGAGTGGGGGGGCTGGAGGGAAGGGTGGAGGGCTGTAGGAAGGTGGAGGGCTGTAGGGAAGGGGGGGTTGTAGGGAGGTAGAGGGGCCGGGGAGAGGGAGAGAGGACTGAGGAAGGAAGGACAGGTATAATTCTCCCCATACATAAAATACACCCACCACACTTACACCATCACCATACACCACCACACTTACAACACCATACACCACCACCATACACCATCACCATACACCACCACAATACACCATCACCAAACACCACCACACTTACACCATCATCATACACCACCACCATACACCATCACCATACACCATACATCACCACCACCAGACATCATACACCACCATACACCATTATCCCCAATACAATATACACACCACACTGAACACACCTCACACAATACTTTGAATATATATATATATATATATATATATATATATATATATATATATAATATATATATATATATATATATATATATATATATATAAATAAACAGCTCAGACCTCACCTAATATTGACCAGGTATTGTGGGACCCAAACACCCCTGAGGAGTACACCCACTACCTGACCTAACCTAACCTAACTTACCTATGTTGTGAGGGAGAAGGTATGTGTTGTTAGGGAGATGTGAGGAACTGCTGGGAGGAGGAGGGAGAGGAAGGGATTGTGCACGGGGAGGGGGAGGGATTGCACGGGGAAGGGAGGGATTATGCACGGGGGAAGGAGGATTGTGCACGGGGAGGGAAGGGATTGTGCACAGGGAAGGGAGGATTGTGCACGGGGAGGGAAGGGATTGTGCACGGGGAAGGGGAGGGATTGTGCAAGGGGAAGGGAGGATTGTGCACGGGGAAAGAGGATTGTGCACGGGGAGGGGAGGGATTGTGCACGGGGAACGAATATGATTGTGCACGGGGAAGGGAGGGATTGTGCACAGGTGGAGGAGGATTGTGCACGGGGAGGGAGGGATTGGCGCGGGGAGGGAGGGATTGTGCGCAGGGAGGATTGTGCACGGGAAAGAGGATTGTGCACGGGGAAGGGAGGGATTGTGCACGGGGAAGGAATATGATTGTGCACGGGAAGGGAGGGATTGTACACAGGTGGAGGAGGATTGTGCACGGGAGGGAGGGATTGTGCACGGGAAGGGAGGGAGGATTGTGCATGGGGTAGGTGGAGGGAGTTTATTTGTTTGTGTGTGTACAGGAAGTCCAGATACAGCACACACACACACACACACACACACACACACACAACCACACCCTTGCTACTATTATGTAGTAATATTGATGGTGTTAATGTTGAGGCTTTATCCACTAATGACTATAACTGCACGCCACAAAACCACCACCCACACCAACACCCCACACCACCACTACCACCACTACCACACCACCACCTATCCACACCACCACCCACACACCACCACACCACCACTACCACACCACCACCATCCACACCACCACCACCCACACCACCACCATCACCACCACCCACCACCACCACCACCACCACACCACCCACACCACCACCACCCACACCACAACCACACCACCCACACCACCACCACCCACACCCACACCACCACCACCCACACCACCACCACCCACACCACACCACCACCACCACCACCACCATCCACACCACCACCACCCCCACCACCACCACACCACCCACACCACCACCACCACCACCACACCACCACACCACACCACCACCACCCACACCACCACTACCACCACCACCACCCACACCACCACCACCCACACCACCACCACCCACACCACCACCACCACCACCCACACCACCACCCACCACTACCACCACCACCACCACCACCCACACCACTACCACACCACCCTCACCACCACCACCACCCACACCACTACCACCACCACCCACCCACACCACTACCACCACCACCACCACCCACACCACTACCACCACCACCACCCACACACCACTACCACCACCACCACCACCACCACCACCACCACCACCACCCACTACCCACACCACCACCACCACCACCAAACATATTCTGACCCTTTTAACCATCCGATATATTTTTGCCACAATGGTCCTAATATCATCAATTAAGGCGCAGGATATGCTAATGAAGGCGGCGGGGAGAAGCGTGGCTGCAGTTTGATATGATAACTGCTTCATTGTGTTGTTGTTTTGTGTGGTTAATGGCATGCTGAGTGATGCTGCTACCACTGCCTTTATTAGCCACCACGCCATAATTACAGGGCCTTTGGGTGATAATGGTCCATTTTTGTTTTAAAGTGGTAATGTGTGTGTGTGTGTGTGTGTGTGTGTGTGTTTTTTTAAATGTATGTATATATGTGTGTGATTGTGTTATCCACCCTCCTCCACATAATTACTCTCCTCAACCACATCACCCTCCACCATTACTCCCTCACCTCCACCATTACTCCCTCTCCCTCCACCATTACTCCTCTCCCTCCACCATTACTCCCTCCCTCCATCATAGTCCCTCCCTCCACCATACCCCTCACCTCCACCATTACTCCCTCCCTCCACCATTATTCCCTCTCCCTCCACCCATTACTCCCTCACCCACCATTACTCCCTCACCCTCCACCATTACTCCACCCGTCCACCATTACCCCTCACCTCCACCATTACCCCTCACCTCCACCATTACTCCCTCTCCCTCAACCATTACTCCACCTCCACCATTACCCCCACCCTCCATCATTACCCTCTCCTCTCCACCATTACTCCCTCCTCCATCATTATTCCCTCTCCCTCCACCATTACCCTCACCCTCCACCATTACTCCCTCACCTCCACCATTACTCCCCTCACCTCCACCATTACTCCTCACCCTCCACCATTACTCCCTCACCCTCCACCATTACTCCCTCACCCTCCACCATTACTCCTCACCTCCACCATCTCTCCACCATTACTCCCCTCCCTCCACCATTACTCCATCTCTCCCACCATTACTCCTCTCCCTCCAACATTACTCCTTCACCTCCACCATTACTCCTTCACCCTCCACCATTACTCCATCTCCACCATTACTCCCTCTCCTCCACCTCTTACCTCTCCTCCACCATTACTCCCTCACCCTCCACCATTACTCCTTCACCCTCCACCATTAATTCCACTCCTCCACTATTACTCCTCACCTCTCCACCATTACTCCACTCCCTCCACTATTACTCCACTCCTCCATCATTACCTCACCCTCCACCATTACTCCCTCACCTCCACAATTACTCCTCATCCTCCACCATTACTCTTTCTCCCTCCACCATTACTCCCTCACCTTCCACCATTACTCCCTCTCCCTCCACTACTCCACTCCTCCACCATTACCCTCTCCCTCCACCATTACTCCCTCACCCTCCACCATTACTCCCTCTCCACCATTACTCTCACCCTCCACCATTACCCTCACCCTTCACTCATTTCTCCTTCACCTCCACCACCATTACTCCACTCCCTCCACTATTACCCTCACCCTCCACCATTACTCCACTCCTCCACTATTACTCCACTCCCTCCACCATTACCCACTCCCTCCACCATTACTCCCTCACCTCCACCATTACTCCCTCACCTCCACCATTACTTCCACTCCCTCCACCATTACTCCTCACCCTCCTTCTCTCAGTTATGCCTGCAAGATATGAATGCATTACCCCTCCTCTTATTACACCCCACTCCCTCCTCCTTCACCCTCCCCCTTCACCCTCCCCCTTCACCCTCCCCCTTCACCCTCCCCCTTCACCCTCCCCTTCACCCTCCCCTTCACCCACCTTCCATCTAGTCTCCTACGGCTTAACTGCTTTTGCCTAATTACATGTAATTACCAGCAACTATTAACGAATTCCACTAACTATCTTCTCGAGAAATTCCACAACTACGACAACTACAAACTACAACTATTTCGGTATAAATATCACTTTACTACTACTACTACTACTACTACTATTACTACTATTACTATTACGATGCTGCTGCCACTTATCATTATCATCATCATCACCATCATTACCGTGTGTGTGTGTGTGTGTGTGTGTGTGTGTGTGTGTAATTAGTTCTCCAGTACTAGAGTAATCACGCACCGCCGCTATAGTTGACGTATGTGGGATGGCTAATGTGCAGGTGGTTAAGATGGTCCTGTTCTGATGGTCCTGTTCTGATGGTCCTGTTCTGATGGTCCTGTTCTGATGGTCCTGTTCTGATGGTCCTGTCTTTGATGGTCCTTGTTCTGATGGTCCTGTTCTGATGGTCCTGTTCTGATGGTCCTGTTCTGATGGTCCTGTTCTGATGGTCTTGTTCTGATGGTCCTGTTCTGATGGTCCTGTTCTGATGGTCCTGTTCTCTGATGGTCCTGTTCTGATGGTCCTGTTCTGATGGTCCTGTTCTGATGGTCCTGTTCTGATGGTCCTGTTTTGATGGTCCTGTTCTGATGGTCCTGTTCTGATGGTCTTGTTCTGATGGTCCTGTTCTGATGGTCTTGTTCTGATGGTCCTGTTCTGATGGTCCTGTTCTGGATGGTCCTGTTCTGATGGTCCTGTTTTGATGGTCCTGTTCTGATGTGTCCTGTCTTGGATGGTCCTGTTCTGATGGTCCTGTTCTGATGTGTCCTGTTCTGATGGTCCTGTTCTGATGGTCCTGTTCTGATGTGTCCTGTTCTTGGTCCTGTTCTGATGGTCCTGTTTTGATGGTCCTGTTCTGATGGTCCTGTTCTGATGGTCCTGTTCTGATGGTCCTGTTCTGATGGTCCTGTTCTGATGGTCCTGTTCTGATGGTCCTGTTCTGATGGTCTTGTTCTGATGGTCCTGTTTTGATGGTCCTGTTTTGATGGTCCTGTTCTGATGGTCCTGTTCTGATGGTCCGTTCTGATGGTCCTGTTCTGATGGTCCTGTTCTGATGTGTCCTGTTCTGATGGTCCTGTTCTGATGGTCCTGTTCTGATGGTCCTGTTCTGATGGTCCTGTTCTGATGTGTCCTGTCTGATGGTCCTGTTCTGATGGTCCTGTTCTGATGGTCCTGTTTTGATGGTCCTGTCATGGTCCTGTTCTGATGGTCTTGTTCTGATGGTCCTGTTCTGATGGTCCTGTTCTGATGGTCCTGTTCTGATGGTCCTGTTCTGATGGTCCTTGTTCATGGTCCTGTTCTGATGGTCCTGTTCTGATGGTCCTGTTCTGATGTGTCCTGTTCTGATGGTCCTGTTCTGATGGTCCTGTTTTGATGGTCCTGTTCTGATGGTCCTGTTCTGATGGTCCTGTTCTGATGGTCCTGTTCGATGGTCCTGTTCTGATGGTCCTGTTCTGATGTGTCCTGTTCTGATGGTCTTGTTCTGATGGTCCTGTTCTGATGGTCCTGTTCTGATGGTCCTGTTCTGATGGTCCTGTTCTGATGGTCCTGTTCTGATGGTCCTGTTCTGATGGTCCTGTTCTGATGGTCCTGTTCTTGGATGGTCCTGTTCTGTTGGTCCTGTTCTGATGGTCCTGTTTTGATGGTCCTGTTCTGATGGTCCTGTTCTGATGTGTCCTGTTCTGATGGTCTTGTTCTGATGGTCCTGTTCTGATGGTCCTGTTCTGATGTGTCCTGTTCTGATGGTCCTGTTCTGATGGTCCTGTTCTGATGGTGTCCTGTTTTGATGGTCCTGTTCTGATGGTCCTGTTCTGATGGTCCTGTTCTGATGGTCCTGTTCTGATGGTCCTGTTCTGATGGTCCTGTTCTGATGGTCCTGTTCTGATGGTCCTGTTCTGATGGTCCTGTTCTGATGGTCCTGTTCTGATGGTCCTGTTCTGATGGTTTTATTCTGATGGCTCTACTCTGACAGTTCTAATCTGACGGTAGAACCATCAGAATAGCTCACTTTTGGCTCAACACACAGAGAGAAGAGGTGTAATTTCTTAACCTAACCTAATCTCAAATATGCACGTACATTTTAGTTGATTATATTTACGTGCATAGGTGCCATTTGTGTGTGTGTGTGTGTGTGTGTGTGTGTGTGTGTGTGTGTGTGTGTGTGTGTGTGTGTGTGTTACGTATATTACACGAGTCAGGTGGTCGAGCGGGTCATTTAGTAAGTAATTACCTGTTGGTTATTGCTCCTTCCTTTTCAATCTTCTGGCCCTCCCTTGCTCCCCTCCTCCTTGCTCCCTCTCTCCCTCTCTCTCCTCTCTCCCTCTCTCCCTCTCTCCCTCCTTCCCACTCCACTCCTCTCACCCCATCCCTCCTTCTCCCCTTCCCTCAGCCCTCCCTCCCTCACCCCAGAAAAGAAGGAGAGAGAGAGAGAGAGAGAGAGAGACTTTCACAGGTGTACACTATAACCCGTAGAAAACAATGTACTCATTAAGACATAAACCGCATGATTACGACTCTCCAATTAACGAAGCATCATATCGCTCGTCATTATCCCCACTAATTATAGTTCATTTCACGTCTCAAATTGGCCAGCCTGGGATGTGTACTAAATTGGACTTATTGTACTCTGTGATATGTACTAAATTGTACTCCCAGGTCAATGAATATTATGAGTATATATAAATTTTAAAGTACTGTTATTATTTCTACTTATTAATGTATAAACGTGTAAGATAAATTAACAGGTATCTATTATTTAATTTTTTTGGAGGTACGGTAGCAGGTGTTAATGTGATCTATTAAGAGTAAGGTAGGTCGGTCTCTCTCTCTCTCTCTCTCTCTCTCTCTCTCTCTCTCTCTCTCTCTCTCTCTCTCTCTCTCTCTTTTTCTTTCTCTCTCTCTCTTCTCTTTCTCTCTCTCTCTTCTCTCAGTGTCTACCAGTCAGTATACAAGTCAGTGTACTGGTCAGTTGGGGAAATAGATCAGTGTACAAGGCAGTGTACAGGTGAGTGTACCGCTGTTCTTCCTTTAAGTAATTATGTTTTTGTGGGTGTTGGCCGACGGCTGTGGTACCACCGTTCCTTGTGCCTCTGTCCTCCTGGTCCTCCTGGTCCCTCCTAGTCCCTCCCTGGTCCTCCCCTGGTCCCTCCTAGTCCTCCTGGTCCTCCTTGTCCCTCCCTGGTCTCTCCCGGTTTCCCTGGTCCCCCCTAGTCCCCTGGTCCTCCCCTGGCCTCTGGTCTCCTGGTCCCCTGTCTCTCCTGGTCCCTCCCTGGTCTCTCCCTGGTCCCTCTGGTCCTCCTGTCCTCCCCTGGTCCCTCCTGTCCTCCTGGTCCCTCTGGTCTCCCCTGGTCTCCTGGTCTCCCTGGTCTCCTGGTCCTCCCCTGGTCCCCTCTGGTCTCCTGGTCCCTCCTGGTCTCTCCTGAGCCCTCTGGTCTCCTGGTCCTCCTGGTCCTCTCCCGGTCCTCTAGTCCTCTCCTGGTCCCTCCTGGTCCTCTCCCGTCCCTCCCTGGTCCTCTCCTGGTCCCTCTAGTCCTCTCCTGGTCCCCCCTGGTCCTCCCCTGGTCCCTCCTGGTCCTCCCCTGGTCCCTCCTGGTCCCTCCTGGTCCCTCCTATTCTCTCTGGTCCTCTGGTCTCTCCCTGGTCCCTCCTGGTCCTCCCTGGTCCCTCCTGTCTCTCCCGGTCCCTCCTGGTCTCTCTGGTCCCTCTGGTCCTCCCTGGTCCCCTCTAGTCCTCTCCTGGTCCCTCCCCTGGTCCTCCCTGGTCCCTCCCTAGTCCTCTCCTGGTCCCTCTGGTCCTCTCCTGGTCCCTCTAGTCCTCTCCTGGTCCCTCCTGGTCTCTCCTGGTCCCTCCTGGTCCTCTCCTGGTCCTCTGGTCTCTCCTGGTCCCTCCTGGTCCTCTCCTGGTCCCTCCTGGTCCTCCCTGGTCCCTCCTGGTCCTCTCCTGGTCCCTCCTGGTCTCTCTGGTCCCTCCCTGGTCTCTCCTGGTCCTCTGGTCCCTCCTGGTCTCTAGTCCTCTCCCTGGTCCTCCTAGTCCTCTCCTGGTCCCTCTATTCCTCTCCTGGTCCTCCCTAGTCCTCTCCTGGTCCCTCTGGTCTCTCTGGTCCCCTCTAGTCTCTCCTGGTCCCTCCCTGGTCCTCTCCTGGTCCCTCCCTGGTCCTCTCCCTGGTCCCCTCTAACCCTCTCTGGTCCCCCTGGTCTCTCTGGTCCCTCCCTGGTCTCCCCTGGTCCTCCTGAGTCCTCTCCTGGTCCTCCTGGTCTCTCCTGGTCCTCTGGTCTCTCCCAGGTCCCTCTGGTCTCTCCTGGTCTCTAGTCCTCTCTGGGTCCCTCTAGTCTCTCCTGGTCCTCCTGGTCCTCTGGTCCTCCTGGTCCCTCCCTGGTCCTCCCTGATCCTCCCCTGGTCCTCTTGGTCTCCCTGGTCCCTCTGTTCCTCTCCTGGTCCTCCTAGTCCTCTCTGGTCCTCCTAGTCCTCTCTGGTCCCTCTGGTCTCTCTGGTCCTCCTAGGTCTCTCTGGTCCCTCCTAGTCCTCTCCTGGTCCCCTCTGGTCCTCCTGGTCTCTGGTCCTCCCTGGCCCTCTGGTCCTCTCCTGGTCCCTCCCTGGTCTCTCCCCTGGTCCCCCTGGTCCTCTCCTGGTCTCCTGGTCCCTCCTGGGTCCTCCTAGTCTCTCCGTCTCTGGTCCTCTCCTGGTCCCTCTGGTCCTCTCCTGGTCTCTGGTCTCTCCTGGTCCTTTCCTCCTGGTCCTCCCTAGCCCTCTCCTGGTCCTCCTGAGTCCTCTCCTGGTCCTCCTGGTCTCCCCTGGTCCTCCTAGTCCTCTCCTGGTCCTCTGTCCTCTCCTGGTCCTCTGGTCCTCTCCTGGTCCTCCCTGGTCTCTCCTGGTCCCTCTGGTCTCTCCTGGTCCCTCCTGGTCTCTCTGGTCCTCCTGGTCCTCTCCTGGTCCTCTGGTCTCTCCTGGTCCTCTGGTCCTCCTGGTCCTCCTGGTCCTCTCCGGTCCCTCTAGTCCTCTCCTGGTCCTCCTGGTCTCTCCTGGTCCCCTCTCTTCCTCTCCCTGGTCCCTCTGTCCTCTCCTGGTCCTCCTGGTCTCTCTGGCCTCCTGGTCTCTCCTGGTCCCTCCCCAGCTCTCTGGTCCCTCCTAGTCTCTCCTGGTCCTCCTAGTCCTCTCCTGGTCCCTCCTGGTCCTCTCCTGGTCCCTCTGGTCTCTCCTGGTCCCTCTGGTCTCTCCTGGTCCCTCCTGGTCTCTCCTGGCCCTCTGGTCTCTCCCCAGGTCCCTCCTGGTCTCTCCTGGTCCCCTGGTCCTCTCTGGCCTCTGGTCCTCCCTGGTCCCTCCGTCCTCTCCGGTCCTCCTGGTCCTCTCTGGTCCTCCTGGTCCTCTCCTGGTCCTCCTAGTCCTCTCCTGGTCCCTCCTAGTCCTCTCCTGGTCCCTCCTGGTCCTCTCTGGTCCCCTGTTCTCCTGGTCTCCTGGTCCCTCTCCTGGTCCCCTGGTCCTCTCCTACTGTCCTCCTCCTGGTCCTCCTAGTCCTCTCCTGGTCCTCCCTAGTCCTTTCCTGGTCCTCCTAGTCCTCTCCGGTCCCTCTAGTCCTCTCTGGTCCTCTAGTCCTCTCCTGGTCCCTCCTAGTCTCCTCCTGGTCCTCCTGGTCCTCCCTGGTCCTCTGGTCTCTCTGGTCCTCCTAGTCTTCCCCAGGTCCTCTAGTCCTTTGCGGTCCTTCTTGAGCCTATATTACAGTGCCCACATCCTCACCCTAATTGTATGTCTACAATATTTAAACGTGTTGATTTGTGGGAGCCTACAGTATAGAACCTACAGTATGGGACTGCCAGTATGGGCCTACAGTATGGAACCTATGGACCTGATATGGAACCTACAGTATGGGACCTACAGTATGGAGCATACAGTATGGAACCTATGGAACCTACAGTATGGAACCTGGGACCTATAGTATGGAACCTATGGACCTACAGTATGGAACCTACAGTGGGGCCTGCAGTATGAGGCCCTGCAGTATGGAACCTTCAGGGTAGGAGCTACAGTATGGAACCTACAGTATAGAACCTACAGTATGGAACCTACAGTATGGAGCCTACAGTATGGAACCTACAGTATGGGCCACAGTATGAGGCCTACAGTATGGGACCTACAGTATGGAACCTACAGTATGAGGCCTACATATGGGAACCTACAGTATGGAACCTATGGAACCTATAGTATGGAACCCAGTATGGAACACAGTATGGAACCTACAGTATGGGGCTCCTGAACAAGGGCCTGCAGTATGGAACCTACAGTATGGAACCTGGAACCTGGTATGGAACCTACAGTATATGACCTACAGTATGAGGCCTACAGTATGATGGCCTACAGTATGGAACCTACAGTATGGAGCTCTGGAACCTATGGAACCTATAGTATGGAACCTACAGTATGGAACCTACAGTATGGGGCCTACAGTATGAGGCCTGCAGTATGGAACCTACAGTATGGAACCTGCAGTATGGAACCTACAGTATGGAACCTATGGAACCTATAGTATGGAACCTACAGTATGGAACCTACAGTATAAGGCCTACAGTATGGAACCTACAGTATGGAACCTATGGAACCTATGGAACCTATAGTATGGAACCTACAGTATGTAACCTACAGTATGAGGCCTACAGTATGGGGCTACAGTATGGAACACAGTATGGAACCTATGGAACCTGATAGTATGGAACCTACAGTATGGAACCTACAGTATGGGGCCCTACAGTATGGGGCCTACAGTATGGGAACCTATGGAACCTACAGTATTGAACCTGGAACCTACAGTATGGAAGCTATAGTATGGAACCTACAGTATGAAACCTACAGTATGGAACCTACAGTATGGAACCTGCAGTATGGAACCTACAATGTGGAACCTGCAGTATGGAACCTACAGTATGGAACCTACAATATGGAACACAGTAGTAGGAACCTACAGTATGAGGCCTGCAAGAACCACAGTATGGAACCTACAGTATGAGGCCTACAGTATGGAACCTACAGTATAGGGCCTACAGTATGAGAGCCTACAGTATGGAACCTACAGTATGAGGCCTACAGTATGAGGCCTACAGTATGGAACCTACAATATGGAACCTGTAGTATGGAACCTACAGTATGAGGCCTACAGTATAGAACCTACAGTATGGACCTACAATGTGGAACCTACAGTATGGAACCTACAGTATGGAACCTACAATATGGAACCTGTGGTATGGAACCTACAGTATGAGGCCTACAGTATAGGCCAACCTGGTATGGAACCTACAGTATAGAACCTACAATATGGAACACAGCATGGAACCTACAGTATGGGGCCTACAGTATGAGACCTACAGTATGGAACCTACAATGTGGAACCTACAGCATGGGGCCTACGGTATATAGTAGTGGTAGTGTCTGGTAGTTGTGAATAGTGGTAGAGTCTGGTGAACCACAGGACCTGAGAGTGAACCGCAGGACCTGAGAACCACAGGACCTAGGTGAACCACAGAACAACCACAGGACCTGGGGTAAACGCAGTACCTGAGAGTGAACCACAGAACCTGAGAGTGAACCGCAGGACCTGAGAGTGAACCGCAGGACCTGAGAGTGAACTGCAGGACCCTAGGGCAGACAGCTTTCCCTGACGCCCAGGTCTTGTACAGACATCATTCTCAGGGCAGTTATTAGTGTCTATTTATATACTGTACCAGCTTACAGGCTCTCTACCTCCCTCCACCCTCCCTCCACTACCCTCCTACCTCCACTCTCCCTCCACTACCCTCCACCCTCCCTACACTACCCTCCACCCCACCTCCACTACCTCCACCTTTCCTCCACACCCTCCATTCTCCTCCTACCCTCCACCCCTCCCTCCAGTGCCCTCTCCCTTCCTTCCTACCCTCACTCCCTCCCTCACCTCCCTCCTCCCTCCTCGTTGGGTATATACCATTGTGTAGCCATCTCTCTTGATTAGGTGTTGGTGATGGGAGAGGTGGCAGAGGTTGGTAGTGGTGGTAGTGACAGCTGGTGGTAGTAGTAGTGGTAGCAATGGTGATGGTAGCAATAGTATTAGCAGTAGTGGTGGTAATAGTGGCAACAGAGGTGGTGGCGGTAGTAGTAGCAACAGGGGTGGTGGTGGTAGTAGTAGCAACATTGGTGGTGGTGGTAGTGGTGGTAGTGGCAACAGGGGTGGTGGTGGTAGTGGTGGTAGTAGTAACAGAGGGAGTGTGGTGGTGGTAGGTAGCAACAAGGTTGGTGGTGGTGGTGGTGGTGGTAGTAGTGAGTAGTGGCAACAAGGTTGGTGGTGGTGAGTGGTGGTAGTAGTGGCAACGGGAGTTGGTGGTGGTGGTGGTGTTAGTAGTAGCAACAGGGTGGTGGTGGTAGTAGTAGCAACAAGGGTGGTGGTGGTGGTGGTGGTGGTAGAATTAGTAGCAACAGTGGTTGGTGGTGGTAGTGGTGGTAGTAGTAGCAAGATGGTGTGGTGGTGGTGGTGGTGTAGTGGCAGCAGGGTTGGTGGTGGTGGTGGTGGTAGTAGTAAGCAGTGGTGGTGGTGGCAGTGGTGGTGGTGGTGCAACAGGGGTGGTGGTGGTAGTAGTAGCAACAGGGGTGGTGGTGGTAGTAGCAACAAGGTTGGTGGTGGTGGTGGTGGTGGTAGTGTGTAGTAGCACAGTGGTGGTGGTGGTAGTGGTGGTAGTGGTGGCAACAGGGGTGGTGGTGGTGGTGGTTGGTGTAGTAGCCAACAGGGGTGGTGGTGGTGGTAGTAGCATCAGTGGTGGTGGTGGCAGTGGTGGTAGTAGTAGCAACAGGGGGTGGTGGTGGTGGTGGTGTGCAGTAGCAACGAGTTGGTGGAAGTAGTAGCAACAGGGGGTGAGTGGTGGTGGTAGTAGCAGCACGGGTTGGTGGTGGTGGTGGTGGTAGTAGTAGTGGCAGCAACAATGGTGGTGGTGGTGGTGGTGAGTAGTGGCAACAGGGGTTGGTGGTGGTGGTGGTGGTAGTAGT